TAAATTAAAGAAATTACATTAAAAATGAGAACTTTTAAATAATTGATTTGATATTAACATTGATATATTTTTTTTTTCAAATTTTTATAGTATCTTCAAATTTATATTTTATTAAAAAATAAAATCATTATTGCTTTCTTAAAAACATATAAAATCATATTATAACATCGACAGAGACAAATAATAAAATAGAACATTAAAATCGAAATATATCTCACTGCATTGCATTTGGTACTATTCTATACTGGTTATTATCGATATTAAAAAATCAAAAATTAATAAGTCAATTTACATCGACCAAGGCTATTTCCGAATTTTGAGGAAAATTTATATGTTTGACTTAAATCAACTATAATTTATCACCAAAAGTCTAACGGAATGTTCAGGGTAAGCGTTTACCTAAATTACATTACCTTAATAATAATGTGACATGGTAAAATTAAAAACAAGGACTGAAAGTCTTACTCGGTAAGTACTGATTACGACAATTATAACGGTTAGTACTTACCAGGTAAATTGTTGCATACGATTTCGTTTTAGAAATCTTCGCACGCCTCCATTACCTTTTAAAGGCCTACGCCCCATAAAAACTGTCTACCTTAAACTGTCCCTTGACCCCGATGACCTATGCATTATGTATGAAGTAAGAGAAACTTCTTTGACTATTATCATGTTTGTATTGTGATATAAATCTTTTTTAACAACCAAATAAAAACACAATTTGCCAATATCTTAGTTTTTATAAATAAAAAAAATAATAATAAATCAAATTAAAAATAGAAATTCGAGTGGAAATATATATATTAATATAAAAAAAAAAACAAAAACAAAAACAAAATAGTAGCTTAGCTTGATAGTTGACTAGCGATACGCGGTGTTGTTAATTAATAAAAGTCAAAAGTCTTTTTATTTTCAATTGTTTGCTTCTGCCCTCCAATAATTTAAAATTTTATTCAAACAACCACCTAAAAATTGATCTTCATTTAATTTATTTTTTCATTTAATTTTTTAAAACATATAATATTTATATACGATAAATGTAACAAATAAACTCATATATCTTCCTCACATTTGGTAATATTTGAACCCCTACAAGAACAGACCTAGAAATGTTTTCAATATAAGAAAAAACTATAGGGAAAGAATTTCAAACAGTGGCACCGTTTGACTATAAAAAACAAATATATGGAATTTTTTTTTCAAACGGTGGCACCATTTGACTAATAAAATGACACTAATGCGATTCGAACTTGAGTCTTGGGTGGAATAAAAGTCTTGCAAACCAACTCTATCAAATAAAATTTGTTATCATTGTAGTTTCAAATGCATACGATGGTAACAACAGATTAATATGGTTGCACCTTTCATGAACCAAATTTTTTTTACCCTTCGATGGAGGAATAATACGATGGCACGTGCCACCGTGTGCACCACTATAGGTCCGTCTCTAAATCTTTGATCTTTTTAGAAACAAAGACTACAATACCGCTAGGCTAAAGAGCATTTGGTTTCTTTCATCTAATTAAAAGAGCAAAAAAAGACGGGATTTATAACTTTATACTTATAGTTTATGTTAGTCGTTAATTTTAATTTAGATTATAAAATCGAAGACTTGGATTGATAAGTTAACTTGTACTGTGTGTCATCTTGTTATGCATATAACCATCGTTTACCATTTAATTACGATTATAATATATGAAAATTATTTATTTATTACACAATTTTCCTTAGTTAGGGATTGTGTTTACACAAAGACAATGACCGTATGTTAACTGTTACTTAATTCAACAACTCGTTTTTTATTCAATTTCATACTCACTTCAAAGAAAATATAAATTCATAATTTATTCAAAAATAATTGAATAAAAAAATAAAAAAAGTAGAAAAAAATTAGATAGAGATCAATTATCATTATTTTATAATAAAAGATTGAGTAAACTACAAATTTGATCCATGTGGTTTGTCAAGAATAACATTTTTCGCCCTTCTAATTTTGAAATTACAAGATAATTATTGCAGTTTGTAGAAACGTCTGAATTTTTTTTCCTCCCTTTAAGGATCGTTTAAATTTTCCGATAAATAAATTCTTATAACAATGTCTTTTGTCTTTTACCTGGTTAAAAACATGGACCAAAATTGTAGCTTACTGTTTTTACCTTTTTGTCTTTTTACTTTTTTTCTTCATGATATTTAATACTATATACATACATACATACATACATACATACATACATACATATATAGGGGTGAGTTCAAATAAAAACCACTCAATTTGTAAAGACAGTGAAAATCTCATTCAACTTATTATAATTTTTCATTTTGTTCATTTTTTTGTAATTATAAGAGGTTGATTAACCATTTTTTATTGTGTAGGGTGTTAATCATGGATATTATCATCTTCATTATTTTAATTTTAGAGAAATACATGAAACAGTTTCATTAAAATTTCATTAAGTAGTATATGAAACAATTTCATAACCACATATGAAACAACTTCATCAAAAAAAAGTATTATATGAAGCAATTTCACAAGAGTAACAATTTCATGAAAAATTTTCATAAGATTAACGATGGATGAGAGTAGTTTTTACTGTTTTTACAAATTGGAGTGATTTTCATTTGATCGCTCCTATATATATATATATATATATATATATAATGGTATAAAGTTGCACTGTGACAACTTTATGATTATTGAGAAGTCTCGTGGCGATTTTATGATTATGAATATTCAGATTGTAGATCTAATACAAGGGTTGAGAATTGGTCTTATGAGTCTCACGAAAAACTATTGGTCTCACATGATCCCAAATCCATATATATATATATATATATATACATACATACTATATTATAAAGCATTTGACAAAAACTCTTAAAAACTACTTTTTATGCGTAAAGTATTGTTTATTAATGCACATTACTTAAAACTCAAGATTGCAAGTAGATTGTGTTAAAGTACAACTTATTAAAGCTCCATATATGAAGTCGTGTAACTAACTGCAGATAAACATAATCAAATACAAGATAAACATCTCATTTTAAATATAAAAAATATAAAATATAATTAGGATAATCATTGAGTTTTAATAGAATACTTAATTATTATCTTTATA